TGGTGAGTGTGAGTGGTGAGTGTGTGGTGTGTGTGGCGAATGTGGTGTGGAGTGTGTGGTGTGTGTGGTGAGTGTGGTGTGGAGTGTGTGGTGTGTGTGGTGAGTGTGGTGTGGAGTGTGTGGTGTGTGTGGTGAGTGTGGTGTGGAGTGTGTGGTGTGTGTGGTGAGTGTGGTGTGGAGTGTGTGGTGTGTGTGGTGAGTGTGGTGTGGAGTGTGTGGTGTGTGTGGTGAGTGTGGTGTGGAGTGTGTGGTGTGTGTGGTGAGTGTGGTGTGGAGTGTGTGGTGTGTGTGGTGAGTGTGGTGTGGAGTGTGTGGTGTGTGTGGTGTGTGTGGTGTGGAGTGTGTGGTGTTGTGTGGTGAGTGTGGTGTGGAGTGTGTGGTGTGTGTGGTGAGTGTGGTGTGGAGGTGTGGTGTGTGTGTGGTGAGTGTGGTGTGGAGTGTGTGGTGGTGTGGTGTGAGTGTGGTGTGGAGTGTGTGGTGTGTGGTGAGTGTGGTGTGGCGTGTGTGGGTGTGTGGTGAGTGTGGTGTGGAGTGTGTGGTGTGTGTGGTGAGTGTGGTGTGGAGTGTGTGGTGTGTGTGGTGAGTGTGGTGTGGAGTGGTGGTGTGTGTGGTGAGTGTGGGTGTGGAGTGTGTGGTGTGTGTGGTGAGTGTGGTGTGGAGGTGTGGTGTGTGTGGTGTGTGTGGTGTGGAGTGTGTGGTGTGTGTGGTGAGTGTGGTGTGGAGTGTGTGGTGTGTGTGGTGAGTGTGGTGTGGAGTGTGTGGTGTGTGTGGTGAGTGTGGTGTGGAGTGTGTGGTGTGTGTGGTGAGTGTGGTGTGTGTGTGGTGAGTGTGGTGTGGAGTGTGTGGTGTGTGTGGTGAGTGTGGTGTGGAGTGTTGGTGTGTGTGGTGTGTGTGGTGAGTGTGTGGTGTGTGTGGTGAGTGTGGTGTGGAGTGTGTGGTGTGTGGCGAGGGATAGGTGAGAGGAGTGAGGGAGGAGGTGGTGAGGAGGTGGGAGGGCATCTCGGGTTGCAATAGACAATGTGGTGAGCCGTGTGAGGTGAGCGACAAGCGAGAGAGGTGAGCGGCGTGAGGGGTGAAGGAGAGAGAGGGGGGGGTGGTGAGCGAGGGGTGAGGGTGATGTTGAGCTTGAGGTGAGGAGCGTTTGGGAGGTCGTCGCCTGGGATAAACACAAACAGCGAGGGGTGAGTGGTGAGGGGTGGGTGGGGTGGTGAGGGGAGGGAGGTGGTGAGGGGAGGGAGGTGGGTGGTGAGGGGAGGTGAGTGGTGAGGGAGGTGGTGAGGGGAGGGAGGTGGGTGGTGAGGGAGGTGGTGAGGGGAGGGATTCCACCTCCCCTTATAAGCCAGCGCGAAAGGGAAAGAGGGTATTGTTGGTGAGTGCGATTGGTGAGTGGTGAGCACGAGTGGTGAGTGCGATTGGTGAGTGCGATTGGTGAGTGGTGAGCACGAGTGGTGAGTGGTGAGTGCGATTGGTGAGTGCGATTGGTGAGTGGTGAGCACGAGTGGTGAGTGCGAGTGGTGAGTGGTGAGTGCGAGTGGTGAGTGCGATTGGTGAGTGCGAGTGGTGAGTGCGATTGATGAGTGGTGAGTGCGATTGGTGAGTGCGTTTGGTGAGTGGTGAGTGCGATTGGTGAGTGGTGAGTGCGATTGGTGAGTGGTGAGTGCGATTGGTGAGTGGTGAGTGCGAGTGGTGAGTGCGATTGGTGAGTGGTGAGTGCGAGTGGTGAGTGCGAGTGGTGAGTGGTGAGTGCGTGCAGCCGAGATCTGCACCCTCACTTCTCCTCACACCACTGGTTCTCCTTGCGAACCTGCAGCAGCAGAACAGGGGAGCAATAAACACGGAGAGGTTAGCGACACTCCGTGAAACACTAAACTCTACTAGACCACTAAACTATACTAACCACTAAACACTAAACTCTACTAAACCACCACCCCACTAAACCCACACCCCGCTAAATCCACCACCCCCAAACATCTATCTCTCCCCCGTTCTCTCTCTACACCTCCCGTGGCTCTCTCCCCGTGTCTCTCTCTACACCTCCCGGGTCTCTCCATCTCCCGTGTCTCTCCATCTCCCGTGTCTCTCTCTCTCCCGTGTCTCTCTCTCTCCCCGTGTCTCTCTCTCTCTCTCCCCGTGTCTCTTCTCTCTCTCTCCCCGTGTCTCTCCATCTCCCCGTGTCTCTTCCCTCTCCCCGTGTCTCTCCATCTCCCCCGTGTCTCTCTCCCGTTCTCTCTCCATCTCCCCGTCTCTATCTCCCGTGTCCTCTCTCCATCTCCCCGTGTCTCTCTCCCCCATGTCTCTATCTCCCGTGTCTCTCTCCCCATGTCTCTATCTATCTCCCCGTGTCTCTCTCCACCTCCCCGTGTCTCTCTCCATCTCCCCGTGTCTCTCTCCCCGTGTCTCTCTCTCTCTCTCCATCTCCCCGTGTCTCTCTCCCCGTGTCTCTCTCTATCTCCCCGTGTCTCTCTCCATCTCCCCGTGTCTCTCTCCACCTCCCCGTGTCTCCCTCTCCCCGTGTCTCTCTCCCCGTGTCTCTCTCTCTCCATCTCCCCGTGTCTCTCTACATCTCCCGGTCTCTCTCCCCGTGTCTCTCCTCTCCCCGTGCTCTCTCCATCTCCCCGTGTCTCTCTCCATCTCCCGGTCTCTCTCCATCTCCCCGTGTCTCTCTCCATCTCCCCGTGTCTCTATCCGTCTCCCGTGTCTCTCTCCGTCTCCCGTGTCTCT